TAACATTTGTTTTTCGCGTTTGAGTAAAGTTTCAGAAAACTGTGTTTTTTAGTTTGTATTACACGCGGACTCCCCCGCGGCCCGCGGGTATATCCCCGCGATCCGCGTTTGGCCTCCAAGCTTTTACGAAGCTACCCTCACAAACAATCCCACATCCCTAACCTTTCTTCGAACTCTTGGCGTCGATCCTGCCTCCGAAGTCGCTCTGCAGGTAAGGAATCTCTTTTCCTTGCTCCGCTCCTTCCTCATTTCCCCCATTTCGCCAAAAGACATCTTGATTTCAGACGAACCATGTATTCTATGTGGTGAATATGGAAGTGTTTAGTGGCTAAAAACCTAGATCCAGTTATTGGAATGCAAGTATTACCGATAAAAATGTAGATCCATTGTTATTCTGAAATGTTTGAAGCATCGAGAGGGATTCCTTCTCGATTCCCCATCCCTAAACTTTCTTCAAAATGCCTGATGTTTGATTTTTATTTACTGAAATTTTTGAGTGTTTGTTGTTCATATGGTCTCCATGCCAGAAAAAGATTTCTGAGTCTATTAAAAATTTGAGACATCTTCCATATGAATCTTGCTGTGCATTTTACTCATATGCGAAGATCTATAAGCAGTCTTCATTATTTGCAGTTCATAATCTATAAGAAGATATTTTTGGCGTTTTCTTGCCTGACAATGAGAGTGATACCTCTAATCTTCATTACTTGCAATTATCGAACAATATATTTTTGAGTGCCATGACATTGGGAATCTTTGGTAATCAAAGCTTGTTTTGCCTTTCAATTTTTGCCTTTCAATGAATGCTTGCTTTGCCTTTCAATGAATTACTGCAAGCAGTATGTAGTACTCTTCACAAAGTTTTGTTCTTTTTTTCCAATGATTCACAACTTGAATGTTTGTTATTAGTATTTCAAAATGTGTTTTGTCTGCTTGCAAGTATAATGCAGACCAAATGGTGTGGGGAAAAATAATGTTACAAGCTTTATGCTCTCATCCTATAGTCTTTTTTTTGGTGATGGATAAATATCAAACCTGCAATCTTATTGTGCAACGCTTCTTCCTTTTAATGTTTGCTTTGATTCATATGAATCTTCAATGGGTGTTCTTCGCTATTAGTTAGTGATTTTGTGAGATCTGATATCTTTTAAGGTACTTGATGTTATCATTTCATACTACTTGTGATTCTGGAGTATAGAGTATGATTTCCTTGGCGAGAAAAAGAAAAAATTTCATATATGATTGTTATATTAAAAGCACATTTCTGTTTCACCAATATACCAATAAATATTTCAATTCATAATCATTGTGCATTTTTTTTACATATGCAAATTCCATCTCTTGACTTGCTCATTTTCAGTCATAAATGTCATCTTACTATCCGTTCATGTCACCGTAAAAAAAGAGTAAATCTAAAGAGTTCGGATCATCGGCTATGTGGGATAGAGAGGCTACTAAGGGGATGTTTGAAACCATCAGAAATTCAACATGTGTTTCACCTATGTGATGGCTGGATGGGAAGATAGCGCACACGACAACCGTGTTTTCAAGTTTGCTAGCAACAGAAAATATGGTTTCACTTATCCACCACCAGGTATGACAGTCGTGTTTAGTTTTTGACCATCAGAATTTCTTTAAAATTTCTAAATGCCAGAAAAACTTACACAAGGAAGTGCAACTTAGTAGATGTTGGGTATTCTTTACAAAGGGGATATTTGAAACCAAATCCAGATACAAAATATCATATTCCTAATTTTGAGAGATCGAGCGGAGTTGCACGAGGGAAGAAAAAAATTTTAACATAAGACATTCATCCTTGCGTGGTGTGATCAAGAGATCGTTCGGGGTGGAAGAAGAAATGGGTAGAAGAAATGGGTAATTTTACGTGATATGTCAACTTATCCATTTCCAAAATAAGTCCAGATTGTAGTGATCACAATGTCACTACATAAATTCATTAGACGATATCATTTTAGGACAGATGCAGAATTTGCCATTATAAAAGAAGATTCATTACAAATATCACCTGAGGCATTTGAATACCACGTTGGACGTACGATCCCACAAGTCAAACTTGATTCACTAGAATCACACACCCCAGATGGAGAAGGTGCTTCAGAGATGGCGGTTTTGAGAGAGAAAATAGTAAATGAAATAAGCCTAGCCATCTAAATTAGATTACGTACTATGTGTTTCACTTATGTTCTGCAAACGTACTATGTGCGTCAAGTTGCATATATTTTTTGGGAGTAACAAAAAATATTCAATGTCATGTTTTTTTGCTATTCATATAACTTGTAGTATTGTATGACATGATTTCGAAAAACAGTAGTTATATTTTTTTTGTATTACATGGGCAATATTTCTAGCTGATATAGAATTGTTGCAATGGCTGTATTGGTGCAATGACTGCTTTATATTAACATTATTTTTCAGTTATAGAATTGGTGCAATGGTTGTATTCGAAGACCATGGTATTTAAAGTCCAGTAATGTTATGGGCAAGATTTGTAGTTGCTTGGATGGCCCAATTTGTTAAGGGCAACCGCTGCTATACATAGCTTATTGCCTCATATTACATTTTATTTTCGAATCATCCCTGTATATGTTCGATTCAGTTGTTCTGTTGCATTGGTTTGATAGTTGTTGGTGGGAGGAGAGTGATAGCTTCAGTACATTTTTATTTGATTAAGCATAATATTTTGCTTTACAAATGTATTCCAAAGCATATCTAAAATAATAATAACTGCTATTACTTTTTTGTTGTTTTGGACATGTCTGCGTAAACTCTTTTACAAATGGCAGTATAGTAGCATGTGGGGTGACTGCCATAATAATTTTGGAAGCAATTGATGCTCTTACTGTTATGTGAATCTCTTTAGTATTGACTGGGCTCAGCAACTCCCTACTTGGTGAGATGGTTGGCACCTTCCCACAATGATGCTAATAATGGTAATATAAGCATATTTAGGAAAGCAAGGAAGCAATCTATACATTTATTTTCTCAAGACTAGCATATTTGATTTTATTTTTTTATCCCAACTTACATTGCTTACATATCTTGTACAAGTGATATGTTGGAAAGCCAGCAAGCAATTTATTTACATTTGTTTGCATATCTTTTATTTCAATTGCCTGATGTTTAAAGTTAACCCATGCCTTGGAATTTATGTTTTGTTTGTGTCGAAAAGGAGTTGACTGGAAAAGGAGTTGACTGCAAGTTGACTGCAAAACCTTTTTATTGAGTTGGTAAGGAGGTTTTGGATGTTTTCTGTCAACCCATTGGAGGGTTATTTCAATGTTGGATAAATTCATGTGCAAGATTCAAAACCCTCAATACAATTCATGATGCAATAAGATCGTTTATGTGAAAAAAAAAATAGAAGATGCAGTTATGCTTTTTCTGGAAAATCTTTAGTTCTCAACAAAAAACAATAGGAGAATAATTGTGGAGCAGCTTGGACGGCCAATAAGGTTTGTTGTTGGCAACCGTTGCTTCTACATTTTTGGGGGTAAATTTTAAATTTTAAATAAACTACTCCTTTTAAATTTTTTGTGGTTCCAGCATTTTAGTTTAGTAGTAGGTTCAGATTGTACTTCCTTCCATCTCCTTCTGCATTTTTAATTTGGACTTTCAGTCGACTGCTGGAATTCCTCTTGCTATTGAGATAGCAAATGAAGGCTTGAAGAAAGCAGGCTTCTCTGCTGGTAAATCTATTCTTGTATTAGGTGGTGCAGGTGGAGTTGGATCCTTGGTGATTCAGGTAATTTCTTATAAATCATGAAACTGAAATCAAACTATGAGCATCTATGGCAGAAAAGAAGTCTGTGCCCAGACAACTGTTGGCTTGCCTTTCTTAGTTCAATCCTTTTATAACAAACAAGATATAGTTGTTTATTGATTCATTCGCTAGCGAATGAGACTATGATCCAATACAAATATTTCTTGATCAACATGATGGATTTTGTCATTGGCTGCTGGAAGTTTTATGTTCATTGATATTGTTGGCTTGTAGTTTTTACTCTAGCTTCTTTCCATCTCCTACAAGTCTGTTGGCTGTAATTTGGTACCTGCATGCTGGCTGTAAGTTGGTACCTTGCTGTAAGTGGGTACCTGTAAGTTGGGAGCACTGCTTTTATTCAGGAGTTGGTGTGGTAAATGTTGTATGGCTTGTATTATATATGTATTTTCTTATCGTTTCCACTACTCAAACTCAGAGAACAGTGAAAATAGAAATTAATATTAGAATTGCATTTATTTTTAGCCATTATTTGCCATTATTTATTGGTGAGGGATGTGGCCAGCTCTGGCATGATACAAACATATAAGACCGTTTACTTCTAGGCTGATCTGAAATCATGAGATAGATGTCCCCTTCCCACAATGATTCTCCTTAGACTATGGTAGTTCAGCAATTTGTTGTTTTCATCTTCTCTTGCTTTGATGAAAGCAGTGGTTCATTTTTCATATTTCCATAAGCTAGTGTGGTCTCCTTGCTTTACTGGAAACATGGGCAAGCTTTTAAAAATTTTGAAAATTTATGAATGCAATCATTTAAGATGTATAGATTTATAAAATTGTAGTCCAAGCTTATATCTATGGACTAGTTGTTTAAGTTTTTTGTTATAAAATTACATATGTCTTGGTTGTTATGTTTGGAAAACAGTATTCCTTTGTGACAAAATATTTTTATGTCAGCCAATGTTTTTGTATTCCTACAATTACATTGAGTTGTTTTATGTTTGAATGAATTCTTTTGTATGACCTAAACTATATATTGTTGTTTTTAATAGCAGTTTTGAGCTAATTTTATAATTATTGTGGATATATTATTTTATGTTGGTTAATAGCTTTACCTCTTATAATCTGGATAATGGTAGAGCAATTTGGGCAGCCACATAAATTTGTTGTCGGCAACCGCTGCCTCCATATTTCGTTAAATATACTTTCTATATTTCCTCAATTTTTTGACTAATCTATTCTATTTTTAATAACTGCAGGAAGATGAGTTCTAGATATTCAGGGAAGTCCGAGAAAGTGATATATCGGTGCGGGCTACCGACCTTGCTACTCACGTCACACCAGGCACATAGCTCCGGGAGGCAATTTTACAGGTGCCCACGGTGGGCACAACGACAGGAGTTCTGCACTTTTTTCAGGTGGGCCGACAGAGAGTTTGTTTCTATTATATCCCAACTAGAGACTACTACTCAGAGTTCGTCAATCTCAAAATTTCAAAACACTGCATCTGATTTGAGTGTTTTTTTTTTCTATTGCATCCCAGTCAGACAGATTCACTCATGGTTCTAGAGTGTCAGAGCCGGGCAGCATGGGCCGTAATATGTTGCTACATTTTAAAGTCAACATTATAATTTTTTTCCTTGTCATTTTGACATGTTATTTTCTCTTTTTTTTGTCTCATTATACTCCATATTAGTATGTGAATGTGCATTTTACTTTTGTATGTGTATCTTTGCTCGTTTGATATGAACATATATATTTGAGTTATATAAATGTAACACCACTTTTTTGTATTTCTTTTCTTAACATTTGATATCTAATTTTGTTAAGAAAATAATAAATTATGCTACACAGATTATTAGTTCAACTAAAAAAATTTGCAAATAAGTTGTTTACAAAAAGCACAACTCAAACAGCTACACGGCTTATTTAGAACAGGGGCAAAATGGTCATTTTTCTAGAATCAGTTGTTTTCCAAACGCACAAACCAAACAACCAGACAGCTTATCTGGATCAGCTACTCATCATTAAATTATCAGGATAAGTTACTTATCAGCAGAAGCTGGATAAGCTATAGCTGCCCCAAACAGGCAACTTATTTGGTGCGGTGGCGTTTTGAAAATGCATCTGACCCGTTCGGGTAAACTGTGTTTTGACAGCTTATGCGTTTTCAAACCGCACATGTCTAGGTGCAGTGACAGCTTTTTAGCTGCGGTCTAACTTTTCCAAAAAAAATAAAAATTTACAATAGCTAACGCACCCAGCTTATCAGCATATTATTCAATAAGCTGCATCTGCCCCAAGCAGACCCTTAAACACAATAACCACAAATATTATTTGAAAAGAAAAAAAAAACTTTCGCTCACATTTCTGATCACATCCTATATTGCTCATTCTTATTGGAAAAAAAATTCATTAATATCATAAATAAATGGAGAGAAAAAATAAATCACATCAATAAATTTAAATCAAACAGTTAGCTCTATTAAATGGTGTTTGTAATGCAGAAAAGATTGAAAATCAAAATATCTTTGGTATTTTCTCCAGAATGCGTTGATGATGATATTCATAGGAATTTGAAGAAATTATTAGGACATAAGTGAAGGAAGAAAGTAGATATAATTAATCGAAAAATTAGAGAAAAGTGAGAGAAGCAGACAGCATCCGAGTAAGAGACACTGTAGCTGTCGGTTTAGGTAGATAATTATTCTTTCTCGGTTCAGATTTACTCTAGCGATATTTTAACTGACTGACTCTGAGATGTTCGCTGCTTGCACGCTTTGTAGAGATTTGGATGTGACCTAACTACATTCAGTTGAGGTGATTTTCGTCGTCCGAAAATACAAAAATTTGGAGTATTTTATATTTTTATCATATATATGTGTATTTATATCATATTACATCTGAATAGAAGTTAACGTACACATCTTAAGAAATCATGTTAAGCTCATTGGTTGGCATGTTCTGCTTCCTAAGGCTGGGGATAGATCTAAGGTAAGCTCATTGGTTGGCATGTTCTGCTTCTTAAAGCTGGGGATAGATCCAAGGCAATGCATGTTATACAAATATTCTTTGATTTTTCAATACAAACTTTGGTGATATAAATATATAAGAATTATGGGTATGTGAGTAAATTTATTGGAAATTTTCATATATATATATGTATGTATGTATGTGTATGTTTTTATCATATATATATGTGTTTTTTGTTATTATTATTTGAAAAGAGGAATACGGTAGGCCATAAGGCAAAAGCAAGAAGGATAAAATGAATACAGATTTTAATGTTTTTTTTAATAATTTTCTATAATGCTAAGCCTCCTCTTAAACTTATAAATAGAGGTCATGGATGAGGGGAAGAACCACAAGTGAGGAGAAGGAGAAGGAGAAAACAGAGAGAGAGTGTGGAGTCTTCTGCTAGCGAGATTTTCTAGAAGAAAAAAACTGTCCTCATTCAAAAAGATTTTCTATAAGAAGAAAGTTAGCACACAAACTTTATAAATTTGACAATCACGTACCTTTTGAGGGTCGTGCCTTATGAGGTTGTGTCCTCTCAAGTTTATGCCTTCTAGGAGCTTGAAATAAATCGGTACATATTGCGACTCCTAGCCTTCTGAGGTCATTTTTGAACATGTGTCTTCTGAGAATTGTAGCCTTCTGAGGTCTTTCAGTGGAGACCTTGTCAACTGCTTGCTTTCTTGGAGTCTTTCTACCGAGGACCCTGTCCACTACTAATTTCCCATCGAAACTTGCCTCTCAGGCTCATTTTCTTGGGGCATGGTAGCTTCTCATCAAGTCTTGCCTCTTGGGCTTGACTTCTTGAAGCACCGTAGCTTCTCATTGAGTCTTACCTCCTGGGCTCAACTTTCAGGGGCACTGAATCTTCCCTTCGAGTTTTGCCCTTGGGCTTTACTTCCAAGGGCATAGTTGAAAGGAGAATCCATTAAAGATGTAAGAATAGTTCTAATTAGTATAACTAGAGATGCTCGACGTTATTAACCTGTAACAGACAAAGTCATATGAAATCCACTTACATGGTTGACTTATCCGAGAATTTTGTTCGAAGCTTTTGCTTGAAGACTGTAACATGTTAAGGAAGAGATTGAAGAAAATCCCCCAAGGATTTTTGACCTATCCGAGGTTGCATGTCAAAGCTTTTGCTTGAAAACTACAGCTTATAATGGAAGAAGTCAAATCAGGCCCCCTGAGATTTATTAAGCCTAGACTGAGGTGTCAGAGATGCTCTGTGTTTCTCAAGCTTGAGGTGTTGGTCTCAATGGACTGTATGTTTTCTTGGAAATATGGTTGCAATCATACTCAGGAATAATGTTTGATAATTCATTAGTTGCTGCTTTTGAATTTTTTTCCCTCTAGCGAGAGAGTTTTCCATGCTAGCTTGTAAAACAACAATGTATCAAGCCTTGAAGAGATTAACTTCTTGATATAGTTGAAGAAGAACTCTTGTACGGTGAGGGGGCACTGAGGAAGAATTATTTGCGACAAAGATTGCCCCCTGTCTATGAGAGGTTTTCACAGCCTTGTTGTCTAAAAGAAATATGGGATGACTAGCCTACTACAGTCCTGCCCAGGATGTTAAGTTGAACGACTTTTCGAGACTACAGTGAAGATTGGCCCCCAGCCTGGAAGAAGTTGTGAAAGAATTTGTGTCTGAATCAGATGTGAGAAGATAACTAAGCTACAATAATGCTCAGGAAGTTAACGTGAATGGTCTTTCGAGACTGCAGTGAAGGTTGCCCCCCACATTGAAAAATGCTTCGAAGATGATTGTCAAGATGTAAAGAAGGTTCATTTGTCAATTGGATGATGTACATCATTGGGAAACAAAGTAGGATCTCAATGTCTTAGAGTTAAAGATAATATCACATGAGACATCACTTCCCACAGATGGTGTCAAACTGGTTAGTGCTAGAAAATTTGCTGCGGTAGAGTAATGGATTATTGTCTTAGGTTTGCACGAGAATTTAACACACACTCAGATAAAAAAATAATCATTAGTGACACCAGCATTTTTTTCGTGGAAAACTTGTAAAAGGAAAAAAAAACCACGAGGTCTAACCCAGTTGTAATTAGAGGTGTCAAAACTTCTCGTTGTTCGCGAACAGCTCGTTAAGAAGCTTGTGTTCGGCTCGTTCGCTAAGTTAACGAGTTGAAAACGAACAACACAAACAAATATTTGTTCGTTTGTGTTCGACTCGTTTTGGCTCGAAATACTACTAATCAATTATATATATATCTTTGATGATTAATATTTTTAAAAAATTAATTGACTACAAGTCTACAAAGATTTGTAATCAATTAAAAGTATTAATGAAGAAAATAGAATAAAAATTATTAAATTAGATTTAAATGATTTTTTAATCTTGTCCAATCCTTAGCATCTTATGGCAACATGATTAGGGTTGTCAAAACGACTCTTTGTTCGTGAACGGCTCGTTTCGGCTCGCTAAACAAACGAGTCGAACACGAACACACTTTTTGAGCTCGAAATATAAATGAACCGAACACAAGCTGAGTCTGGGCTCGCTTGTGTTCGGCTCATTTACACCCATAGTTGTAAAAATCCATTATATGTTGATAATTACAAAGACCCTTTATTCCACAGGCTGGAAAGGATTACCAAGTCTTCTGAAATGCAACGTCGATGTGCGAATGAACTTGTTATAAGAAGTGGACGACAATCGATGACAGTCGGTGGATGCCGACAAGTGGTGGTCGACAGTGGTTAACAGTGACTGACGATGATCGATAGAGGTTAGCGGTGGTCAATGACTATCGGGGGTGATCAAAGTTGGCAGGAGTGGTGCTAGACTTCAGCTCTTTCGCAAAGCTTCAAGTTATTTCTCAAGCCTCAAGTTCTCCTTCCTTTCATAAGAGGAATTGAGTTTTATTTATAGTGCTCTGGGTACAATTAATCGAGAAATATGAACCACTTTGATTGTGACGGTCTGGGGAGCTTCCTGCAGTTATACGACATTTGAGTGTCTTAACTATGTCAGAATTTAGCAATATTGAACTTATCGGATTCGTCTTTTCGAAACGCTTGATTTGCATATAGGCTTGTTAGATTCAACGTACATTTGACCTTCTAAATATGTTTAGAAAACTTCCAAGCGGTTTGATGACTTAATTTGAGCTTGATTTAACTCATATTGAACTAATTTCGATATCATTGATTCCATCTTATCGAATCGATCAATTTTATTATAAGTTTGCTGAGATCATAGCTCTCAATGAATTTTTTAATTAATATAGAATATTTCTTGTTCAAAAGATTGTATCGAGATTCATGTCATACCTTAGATATATGATGAGAATATGTTGATGGAGTATCAAATACTAACAAATATAATAATAATAATATCACTAATAATAATAATAATAATAATAATAATAATAACAAAACAAAAATAATAATAATAGTTTTCGCTGTTGGTCAGAATTTAAAAAAATTAGACACGGCAAAATTGATTTGGAAAGTCAATTTTATTAGTTTTAAAAATAAATACTATTATATTAAAAGATTAATTAATTAGATCCATCTTAAAGCTTTGGTCGTCTTGTCTCCTGTTGCGCCAGAGGAATTATTGCATGCGGACACCGCATACGGTGATCTACGGTCAGGATTATTTCCATTTAAAAAAA